CACGACAATGCACGTCCACATGTGTCACGTTTTATGCAACACAAGATTATGGAGTTGGGTTGGGAAGTTCCCCCCCCTCCATATTTTCCGCATATGGCACCATCAGATTACCATTTTTTTTTTCGCTGCAGCACCATCTTAACGTGAAAACGTATGTAAATATGGAAGGTGTTAAAGTGGACATCGACATGTTTTTTACTTCAAATCCAAGTCATTTCTTTAATCAGGGCATTAAAAACCTGATTGTAAGATGGAAAAGTATCATCGATAAGAATGGAGACTATTTCATGTAATAAATGTTTTGATATATAAGTTGTTTCGGTTTTTCATCTAAAAAAAAAACGAAATTAATTTCTTGACGACCTAATGTACATACATATACAAATATTAAACAGTTGGTCTTCTGTACAAAATAAGATACTGAAGTGTCATAAAATAATTCACATGCCTAAATTAATTCATGGTGAGGCCCGACATGGCCAGTTGGTTAGGGTGCTAGACTCGCAATCTGCGGGTCACGGGTTCGAATCCCTATCACACCAAACATGCTTGCCCTTTCAGCAGTGGGGGCGTTATAATGTGATGGTCAATCCCACTATTCATTGGTAAAAGAGTAGCCCAAAAGTTGGCGATGGGTGGTGATGACTAGCTGCGTTCTCTCTAGTCTTACACTGCTAAACTAGGGAAGGCTAGCGCAGATAGCCCTCGTATAGCTTTCCTCGAAATCCATAACAAACAAGCAAACTATATGGTGAATTAAACGGATTCAGAACCCCATATACTCCTACATCGGAATGACTACCACAACCCTGTCAAGACGCCTAACAATGCACCTACAAAATGGAGCCATCAAAGAACATTGTTCCTGCATCCACAACCAAAAACTCACACGTCAGGACCTAGTACAAAACACCAAAGTAAACCGCCGCTTTAACGACTTCACAACTCTTCAAATACACGAAGCAATAAAAATCCTACAGCAAACTCCCATAATCAACAAACAATCGACAGGAACAGC